TCTCTTTATGTAGATTCACACTCTTTATTTCCTTGAAACCAGTATTTATTGTCCCATGAGGAACATGTAAACACATTCACATGAATGAACATACTCATTCTCAAGAATATTTTTATCATGAATGTAATAGGACAATATTGTTTTCTGAATCCTGACTGACAAACTTTGGAAATGCTAACAGCCTATTAATAAGAGAGAATTTCCCTGGTGGCCAAGAGTATAGTTTAAAATCAACTTTAACATTCTCTCAATGAATCATGGGTCATGTCTATATAAAATTGGTTGGGTAAAATTTCATTAAGGAAGTGAAGAAATGAGCTGGTGATGAAGACTGGATGAGACAAGATCCCTTTCCTCTTTGACACAACTAACAATATCATGCCATAGTCCATGGATCACCAGGGATTTCTCTGGGACAGGAGTCAAACCTAATTAGTAACCGCCTAGATCTGGGCATACTTTTATTAACTGACTCTTAATTTCCATCAGAACCATACACGTATCTGTATTACACTTTGGAATAAACAGTTTTGTTACCCATGGGGAGTAATCCTCATGGCATGGCCTGGTCAGTTCATTTAGAGCAGCTACTGCCAAACTAATTAGAAACTAGGAATAAAAGAGAAGCAGTTATATTTTCTTCTGTGCTGTGAAAATAGAAGCCTAGATACCTTTTTGATAATTCCACTTTGCTAGGTCCAATTATTTAAAAAAAAAAAATAATACATCACTTCTGAGAGTCTTTTTCCTTATGTTAATCGTTATGTTGTTGGTTAAAATAATTTTTAAAATGTTTAAAGTACAAAATCCTTTCCCTTTTCAAATCAGGATATAGGCACATGTAAGGCCTTACTCTGTGTGGCAACAAGTTTTGACTTGATAAAATTGGAAAGAGCGTTCTAGTTTAAGACTGACCCAGCTCCACTTTTGCCTTTCCATTTAAATAACTATTTTACCCCTCTGTAGGAAACTTATTAGGTAGAAGAGAGTGTGTTAGTGATACCAGATTTCTGATACTGGATTTCCAGGCTCTTGTTCTCAACAATTTGATGAATGAATCAACAGACCACAGGATCAATAGTAGTTAGGTTTTATTCAACAGATGTTACAGCTCTCACAAAGAGCCAAACCTTGCAGAGCAGGATCAGCAGTAATATATGTTTTATATAAATGTCACAGCTCTTACAAAGAGCCAAACCTCCCTGCAGAGCAGAATATATAAGTGTTATAGCTTAGACAGCTATAACAGCTCTTATACAAGTGTCACAGCTCTTACAAAGAGCCAAACCTCCTTGCAGAGCAGGATACACGTGTCACAGCTCTTACAAAGAGCCAAACCTCCTTACATAGCAGGATACAAGTGTTACAGCTCTTGCTCTTCTGCTCTCTCTCCCTCAGAGGTCTGCAGAGATCTGTGCTTGGGCTCTCTGCTCAGGGGCTTATATGGGGCAGTTGTCCAATGAGCTTTTAGGGCCTGAAAATAGACAAGTCGGGAGCAGGTTTTGAAAATGGACCAATCCGAGATGCACTGGAGGAATCGCCAGTGTCTTCCCCCACTTGTGTCTGGATCCTTTGGCTACTGGAGCCTCCAGTGGGGGAGGGTAGCTCCCCTCACTTGCTTTCTCTCCAGCCTGCTGGTTCCTCTGCCTGCTGCTGCCACCAACACTGCCAAGATGGAGGCGGCAGGTCCTCCAGCCCCACTTGGCTAAGCTGGCTGGGGCGCCACCTTTCTGGTATCATTAGGGCAGAAATTTTAAAATACTGGCTTATGAATTCTATTTCTGAGAAACTTTAGGTTGACCAAGAGTCTGTTGTTTGGAAAAGACTTAGTAATAAATAGGGGGCAGACTTCCCTACAAAGTTGCAATTTGAGCAAAAACTTAAAGGTAAAGGGGTAGACCCAAAGATAAATAAATTATTATGAAATTTGATGTAACCCAAGTTGGAAATACAAAATATAGCCTCACAAACCCATGTCAAAAAAATTGTCATTGTTTTTTCAAAATCTTCTATAATCTATGATAAGGTATATCAGGTAACTGTATTTTTACAAAATTAAAAGGAGACAGAAGGCAAGTCCAAATGCTGTTTTAGAAACTATTTGATCTTCATATTATTATACTATTATGCTTAGTAAGTAATTAGATCATGTCCAATGAAAGGATATTATTCATATTTAAACATTGTGAATTATTTTATGAATATTATGATCATCTTTAATGGAAAAGGATCCAAATAAAATATGGACTTATTAAACAATGAACAGCAGAATTTTTAGAGAACTTAAATGTAAGAATGAATACTAAAATAATTCCAAGTTATCTATATTTTGATATCCTTTATTTCTTAGTCATTAAACATTCCTCTGTTTACATTTCTTAGTGCCTTACCTCTAATTTTCTACATATTTTTATCCCTCTGGTAAGTGCATTAAACATTCAGCAGATACTTTCCCTCAGTTCTCAACATGTGGTTTATGTATTTACTTGGAAGGAATACTTACATACTAAGTACAAACCACTGGAATTATCACAAAGGATTAAAAGTTCAATAAGACAATAAACTTCAATAAACCCATAGTTTGGTTGGAAGAAGAAACATGAAAAAATAAGCAAAATATAAATGCAGTAAAAAACATCTAACATGTGCTGAGTGCTGTTCATAGGGACCATGTTAAGCAGTTTCTATCTGTGTCTGTATTTACCTTCAATCCCAGTAGGGAGGCAGAAATACTAACTCCATCTTTAGAACAGTGAAGCAAAATAGCGAGTGATTAACTAACTTGCCTGTATCACATGGGCAACTGCGGATTTGAGTCTAGACCTTCCGAGTACATAGACTGCTGCATTAGCTTTACCTTCATGCTTGTTCAGAAGCAAGAGTGAGAGAATAACTCAGCTTGGAGATGCATTGGGGAAAGTTTCAGAAGATGTATCTTCTAGACAGAGAGAGCAGGCAGGCTTTCCACCATGGAGAAATGCCTTGTGAGAGGCAATGAGACTCACTACTGCATATGGTGCAAGGAATAAGGACTTTGCCAGTTGTGTTTCTCTCTGGCTGATGTGAGAAACAGACTTGAGAGTAAAGAGACCAGCAGTAGTAGCCATGGTACACAGTTTATGAAAGACTTTTATCCTTGCTGAAGGTTTAATCCTCTAGTATAAGGTTACCAGTAAGTTTCACACTATGCATCAACACTAATGTTATAATACAATGGCTGATATTTTCAAGCCATTGCTTTTAAAGTAGCATGAAAGATTAATTGGAAGGAAGTGAAGGGATCTGTTTACTCAGTGGGGGTGAGAACGTGAGTTACATCATTATTTCTCCACCTTAGGATATCCAAATAGTGACTTCTACAGAAAGCTGGAAATAAACGCCACAACTGCGTAGAGAATTCAGTTTAGGGCCTGCAAAGTCATCTACCTATAAGTAGAATGCAAAGTAAGGGATGAATGATTTTTATCCAGGAATGAGACCAGTCCACCCCCTTAAAATTATCAAGACAATGTCTGAGGAATACTAATGCTTAGAGTCTTGATTGAGTAGCTGCAAAGGAATCTTAGAATTATGAAGCACAGGGCAGGTGGTGGAAAGACAGAGGCAAACACCTACCTAATGGGTACAGCGAATACTGTTTAGGATGGACACTCCTATAGCCAGGACTAAAGCATTATAAAAGCGACCCACGTAATCTAAGACATTTGTACCCCCTTAATATTTTGAAATTAAAAATATAGGAAGAAACAAGTGGAAATATTAAAGCTATGAAGTGATATACTATATACTTGTATATCCTGTAAAATTTATAACTTAAATACTTTAAACAAATTTCTTTAGAATACATAAACAAGGCTCAGCACCCGTAGCACAGTGGTTACGGCACCAGTCACATACACCAAGGCTGGTGGGTTTGAACCAGGCCTGGGCCTGCTGAACAACAATGACAACTGCAACAAAAAATTAGCCGGGCTTTGTGGCGAGTGCCTGTAGTCCCATCTACTTGGGAGGCTGAGGCAAAAGAATCGCTTAAAGCCCAAGAGTTTGAGGTTGCTGTGAGCTGTGACACCAAGGGTGGCATAGTAAGACTCTGTCTCAAAATAGAAAAAAAAAAAGAAGAAGAAGAAAGAAAAGAGAAAGGAATAAGTAAACAAGCAGAACTATGTTCCTTGTTACTATAATTTTGATACACAGGCTCTTTTTACAGTACTTCACTTTTACTTACTATATGTTGCTTTTACTTGATATGATGTTGTCAGCATGGATTGCAGGATTTATATAAGTAATGACCAGTGAAACCCTTGTTCTGTGTGTTCAGTATGATGGCTCCCTCCCTTCCCTTGCCCTTGCTTTCTTCCTCTCCTTACATAAAATGTAATGTGAATTAAAGAAAAGTTTATGTTTCTTTTCCTGGTTTAACTACTAAAACTCTTAGATCCATGTCTGGGTAGACCTTCTATCATAGCACCTAGCTGTGACCATTGGGTAATGACTTTACTTTTCCCAAGCTGTTAAATGTCTTACTCAGTGAGCTCATTTTTAAAAAAAGTTAGACACAGTCTCACTGTGTTGCCCAGGCTGGAGTGCAGTGGCTATTCACAGCTGCAGTCATGGCACATTACCGCCTCCAGCTCCTGGGCTCTAGCAATCCTGTAGCCTCAGACTCCCAGTAGTGAGGATCACAGGCTTGCTCCACTGCTTCTGGTTTGAAATTGGACTCTTTCTTGTTAGGCTGTCTTATTTTGGCAAAGGACTGTAATTATTTGTTGAAACAAGAAATACTATAAAAACAAAACAAATTATGCATTAATTTTGAAGGGTTTTGTATAATAATTTTGATCTAGTTGCAGACTTCATTCATTGAATATTGGCTGAATTGAATCACTGGTGGGTTGAGCAAATTGTTGCTCCAGAACTCAGCTTTTCTCAGCTACTCTTAATACCTTATGAGTTTCTTTGGTGGTGGACATTGATCAAGGACCCATCTCTGTTTTCTGCAGTGACAAGGACAGTGTGTGCAGAACAATGTGATGGCAGATGCTACGGACCCTACGTCAGTGACTGCTGCCACAGAGAATGTGCTGGAGGCTGCTCAGGACCTAAGGACACAGACTGCTTTGTATGTCCGGGAGTTCGCCCTCTTATTCTCCTGCTTTCTTTCCCCTTCCTGTTTGACTCAGGCACACTGAGTCTTTAATATCTTATTATAATGGGATCATGTTTAGTCATTTCAGGATTAAGAAAAATGCTCAGCCTTCCCAGAAGTCATTCCTTCACTGCGTTGGCTATTGATTAACTTGAATTGTTCTATTCTACTACATGAAGTGTATCTTTCTCATAGAATTTATAGCACAAATGAGATCTATTGGAGAACATAGTGAGATATCTTTTTAGAATAGAATAGGATTCTTTTCAGAAATGCACTGATTACTGGTTTATTTTGTTGCACCATTAAATCTGATGAGTGGCAGCAACTGTATTTTACTTATTAAATAAAAATTCTAAAATTATAACAGATAACTTATGAATTTAAGTATTTTCTGGTTTATATTGCTAACAAGCTAATATTTTTAAATGTTAAGATTTGCACATTTAAAGCAATGTATATGTTAATCCATGTGATATTTATTTTAGAAGAGGATACTTCCTTTAAATTTACATTTATAGTTTGTTGGTGACACTTTTTAATTACATTTTGATATAGTTCTGATACAGTTTTTTTTTTTTACATTGGAATACATATAAGCAATTCTGTTAGTCATAGTTAATTCAATTTCATATATACAGAACATTAATTTTTAAGCTAAAAATCATAATAATTGTTTTTGTAGTTAAAAAGGAACACAGAAATTTCTTTTATATTTTTTCCTTCTCAAATATCTAGCAAACAAACATTCAGAGTAAAAGTAAGTAGTTTTTTTTTTTTTCAAATTAACACTCAATTCCAGAAATAAGTAAAATATAAAATAAACCTCTCATGGGGCAGCACCTGTGGCTCAAAAGGGTAGGGCACCGGCTCCATATGCCAGAGGTAGTGGGTTCAAACCCAGCCCCAGCCAAAAACTGCAAATGCTGAAAAAAAATAATAACAAAAATAAAGATCTCATGATATAGATAATGTTTTTTTGATATCATCAGAAGTTAATTTATCAACCCTCATTCCAACTGAAATAAAAATACATGCTAGAGATGTGAATAGGGAGGAAGCAAAGGAAGTTAAAATGCTATAACTTTAAGGAACATACTCAGCAGGTCTTGAACTGAGAACCTTTCCTTCACCTATCACCAGACCCAGGGTGGAAGCTTGATTTTAAAACACCGCACACTGCCAGGTGTTGCATTCACAACTCCAAAACAGTAACAATAATAAACAATAGCAAAAACTCTCCTTTAGAATTTTTGCATTGCATCATTTTCCTAGTTCCATTATCATGATACCACAATGCTGAGTGAACTTCAAATTATCATTTCATTACCCAATGGTCCAGTGATCCCACTTTGGCCTTCAGTGCAGGATGTTCAAGGTCTCGGTGTAAGTTACGTTGTTTGGTATGCTGTCTGTAAGGCAAATTTGTTTTATTCCTCTGACTTATGTTCCTTTGTTCCTAAGCGTTCTGTGCACCACATTGCATAAAGGATGTTAGTAAACCAATTATATAAGGACACGTGAAGTTTCATAGCCATAAATTAAAACTTACTGAGTTTTCTAGATTAGTTTTTAATAGATTCTTCCCAGAACGTGTCATCTTAGTGGGTAATGTATCATCGGTGAGTCTCATTCTGATTATGCATCTAGTAGACCATCATCAGGGAATTGTCATGTTTGTGATAAAGTGCTTGCTAAAACAACAATTGATGAAGCAAATGTTTTGTGGAAACAGAATAAATTAATGCGTATTAATAAGCATATGTACAATTTATTATGAAATGTAAATCATAGCTTGAGTTCCCATTAGCTCACCTTCCAAAGCCTAAATTGTTACTACAAAGGCTTGATTTCTTAGTTAAAAAAATTATCTCATTTATGCTTTGTTAAGCACATATTTATATGTATCAGACCTATACATGTGTTCTTTTTTTATGTCAAATACCTAACTCTTAGGTGGTAAAACAGTTTTTAATTTTTCTTAATGAATTTGAAAATATTAATAAGTTGGGTTCTTAATACAAAAATATATGCAAGCAGAAATAAACTCTCTCATTTCAAAGTAGTGGCTTTTACTACATTATAAAAAAGCCATATGGGTAATGACATCATATTATTGAACTACGGGATAATGATAGCTAGTTACCCCTTTAATTTTGGCTTTACCTATACTACATTTATACTAGTCTAGTCATCTGTCCTTTTAGTAGAGTTTAAGTGACTACCACAGTGTACTCTTAATTCAATGTTGGTAATTGTGCTAAATGTGACTTAAGGCGCTGAACTCTCTGAATACCAGCTCAAAAGAAAGTCTAGCTTATAGAATTAGGGATTTAGTTGTCAGGGCCAGACTCTAAGACTAAACATAAGTGTGTTGAATTAATATAAGCTTAAATAATTAGTCAACATTAGCTAACTTTAATAATTCAAGCCAATTCTCAGTTTAGAGAAGAATGGATAGACAATAAGCAATTTGAGCATCAGTAACTAGAAATAGTATATTTATGACATTGGAAAAAATTTTTTAGAAACACAAATAACCATAAAATTATCAAATTTTGCAGTATGTAGGTGA